GGCTTTTTAAGGTTGCATATATCAGGGACATGTAATCGAGCACATCGCCAGCATAGCTTTCCATCAGTAATCCATCTTTGTAGGTCAGCAACCGACTGCTCTCTGATGTTATCACAGCGAGTAATGTAGTGCTCTTTACTGTTGCAAAAGAGGCAGTGTACCTTGAATGGTTTCTTCTGCTTGAGCTCTTTGGGACGCGTAGAAAGCACAGTTTCGGCAGGGGATGCACCGTGATAAACGACTAGACTTGGTCCCTTTGTTTTATATGGGGGTTTCTCTTTTCCGACTCCTGGAAGTTTCTCAAGCTGGTAGCGCTGTACTAACCGAATAGACAGTCTTTGCTGCTGTGCCTTGACTTGTAGCCATCCAGCGAAGTCCTGCAAATTATAAGGGTTAAGACTTATGGAGTTGAGCTTCCCCTGTTGTTGAAGGAACTCGATGAAGCCATCCCGTAGATACTTTGGCAGCTTGCTGAGTAGGCGGTCTACATGTGAGCAGCAATTAAGCTCCATCCCTCTGGGTCCCTCTAATGACAGCAGCATGCTGACCAGGAGATGAACTCGCAAAGCAAAGCTCTGAAAGCTGTGGTTATCATTGGGCTTGACATCTGATGATGTGAGGATGGCTGCTATCTCACTTTGAGCCAGTTGATGTGGCTGACCATACTGTAATTGAAGTGCTTGCATAGCTGCTGAATATGGATATAAGTGATGCCGGCAAGACTGCGCGATCATCTGAGCTTCAGGCAGTTTAAGATGTTCCAACAGGACATGATATTTATATTTCTCTGTTAGTTCTGGGTAAGGCTCAAGCAAATTGTCCAATGCCAGCTTCATGTTAGCAAATTCCCTTTCACTGTCACATGTGAAGTCTGGAATTTTAGGTTTAGGGGGGCTATATAATGTCCGCTGAGGTATATTACCACCCGGTGGAGCGGCAGTCTGTGCTGGTATCAGCTGTGGAGGGGGAACAAATGCAGCAGGGCTCACTGAAGGGAGTAAACCAGAAATCATGTTTTGAGAGGGTAACGTTGACGTTCTCTGATATGGAGGGCCATAACTGAATGAAGTAGATGCATTCACTGGCTGTATCTGCGAATGTGGTGCTGCAAGATAGCCGTAAGGTCTCATGGGATGCTGATAAACTGGCACTGGCGAAATCAGCTGCTGCTCAACGGGCTGGACTGATGGTTCAGCCTTATTCACTACAGTTTGTTCATGAAGGGGCAAAAATCTGGCAGAATGAGATGGAACTGGCTCAGATAGTGGTGGTAGTCACAGATGAGAGACTGGAGATACTGTACCAGAGGAGATAGGAGAAGACACTAAACCTGTAGTTCCTGATTGGTTTGGATGGAGTGGAGTGAATCCAAGGATGCAACTCTCTACCTCTGCTCTAGGAACAGCACCTGTTCTATGTGACTTTTCCTCATGTCTCACTGATGTACATACAGTAGCCTGTTTGTCGACATGTAACACCATGTCATGTGAGCGTATAGGCGGAGGGGTTGATGAACCAGAAGGTGTCGGAGATGACTGTGGTGCTGATGTAATAGCCTGCTCTGGTTCATTGTCCTCATTTTCCTCTTCTTCCCTCAAGAATGATTTGATGTGTTCCATCATCTCATTTCGGCGGTGCTTACGTTTCTTAAGCCGCTCTAGTTTCATGAGAAGATCGTCCATTTCGAATGTCTCCTCTTTCTCCCTCTCATGCATGGATTCCATGAGTTTTGTCAATGAGTCCATACTCAGTACGTCCGCTTGACTCGGACTGGGCGTGTCTCGATGTCCACCTTGGCTGGAGGCAGCATCTGCTTGACTAGTATACACTGCGGCTGCTGCTCCTCTCTGCTCCTCTGACTCCCTCTGAACAGGACTGGAGGAAAGGGCAGGTCGGTGATGTAAGTCAAGGATGTAATCCTCAAGGCGCTTGGGGGTTTGACGTCGACGTGACTGTCTCACTTGAACATCCGTATGGGGAAGTGATGCTGGTTTGTCATCTGATGACATTCTGAAGCAGTCAAGATCCGGCTCGAAGGACCATTTGTTGGGGATTGCCCCACTGAATGCCGGTTCTTTAATGTTCGTAACCACTTCAGTACTCTGATCAGGGAGTAGGAGTCATCATATCTTTTACACCTTTTATTTATGTGCGGGGTTTTACCATATAAACATATGAACTATGGATTGGAGGTAGTTTCTGCAATAAACAAATAAACAGAAGTGAATAACTAAATGTTAAACATACATGCCCGAATACTGTTGTGATAAACAGTACATTACCAATTAAACAATTTTAACAGCTCTCTCAAAGTGTGTTTAGCAGAATAAGAAACAAGCAAACAGAATAACAGAGCATATAAACAACTAAAGGTACATTATACGTCCTCGTTATGGTATTAAAGTATAACAAATATAGAATATCTTATACAGATGCATAGACAAAGTTAAACGAAGTATGGCCAATATTAGCAAGATAAGCCACGAACGTGCGTTTCACATGTCAAACTAAATAGATCGCGAAACACCCGCGACTTACAAGCTTAATGTTAGAGATAAACTCAGCAGTATAAACATCCAGTATTACGAATATAAAGTCAGGAAATAAACTCACTTCGTCAATAACTTTTGTCCTGCACTCAGAGATACTGCACGGGTGGATAATTGCGTCATATTCTGACTGCTCTGCATGCGTAACTGAGAACGCGTCACTTACGCCAAAACAGCATCCAATATAATTGCGCACTACGTACTTTCCACATGCATTAAGTTTTCTACATAATACTTCCTTCAAGGATTCAAGGATATAGAATACAGCAGTAAATAATACTTAAAGACATAAATTTCAAAGAATTCACAACAATGACCATTGCTATGTAGAGATCAAGACTGAGATACCTGGAAACAGGTGGAGTCCTTTCTGCTATTCCCCGTTCTGGCCTTGATGCACACAGGGCCACTTCGATTAATTCACAAGGTGATCTGAGGATTACAATGGGGGTTCGTTTGCCGGGTGAGTCCCCACGTTGCCCCTCTCTTTCAACAGACAGAAGTATGCGGTTCAAGGACGCAACGACTTCTCACGCGTCTCCCGCCACTCCCTCACGGTAATCGTGGAGCCAGGTAACTGCAACCACACTAACGGCCCCCGCATCGGGATGCTGCGCCTTCTGAGGTGGGCCCCTGTGCTACACAACACTACCCCACCGAGGGTACGTCTGTTGGCCCACTGGTCACCCTTGTACAGTGTCTGGAAGCCAGGCTAACGCTTACCAGCCCATCTCGCTGGGTCGTTCGGACGATCAGACTCGCTATGTGATTCAGTTCGGCCGGCGTCCCCCCAGGTTCAGCAGCGTCCGGTTTACCTAAGTGGTAGAAAAGGATGCTCCTGTTCTGCGTGCAGATATCGCAGTCCTATTGGCGAAGGACGCGATAGAGCCGGTCCCTCCAGCCAACATGAAGTCAGGATTTTAAAGCCCATACTTCATTGTGACGAAGAAAGGCGGTGGGTTACGACCGATATTGGATACCTAAGGGTTTAATCTCGTCAACGTCAGTGAGCCAATAAGCTTGCAGCATAATTGTCTGTGGCAAGGCATCAAGGAAAAACACTAGTTTACGCCGGTCACACCCTGTAGTGTGTAGTGTCCCAACCTCCATAGATTTGGAAAAGATCAAAAGTGTGGCTACATTTCACCAGGCTCGATGCCAACAGCCCACGATGCAATATTTGCGACAAGATAATTGCAGCCAAGACCGGCAACACGACAAATCTGATGAAGGACTTGACAGTGCACAGAATAAACTTAAGGGCAGAAAGTTGCTCAGTCTTTGACTCCAAGAAGAACTGGAGGCATGAGAAAAAGGCATATAGAAAGCTTGAAATGTCTTTTAAATGAAACGAATTTTCAATCGAAAACAAATACTCTCTGATTATGTAATCCATATGAAAGTTCTCTCTATAGATGCGCGCGAGTGCATGTTCACTATACTGGATGACGAGTCAGCAACGTCAATTTAATCTTTGCAGCCAACACTGACTCAGAAAACACTAGTTTATTAATAAACAATTAAAATGTCTCCTTGCTATTTTTTCCCAACACATTAATCTTGATAAAACAGATTTCATAAAATTTGCATCGGAAAAAGTATCGTTCAGGAACCGGTATCGAAGTCAAGGTATAGGTATCGAAAATGTTTTCCTTAAAGGCGACCTATTATGCAAAATTCACTTTTATAAGGTGTTTGGGGGTCCACTCTGGCAGAGTCCACTCTGCCATCTCTGTAGCAAAAAAACTGTTACAGAGCACTGCCATGATGGCCAGTACATATGTGTAACTTCACGTTACCTCCCTATGGGCAAGATGTGGTCTTCGTAGCGTTCCTTTCCAGTTGGAATAGGCACGCTTTCCTGGTGTTATCCTTAGTCTCACTGTTCAGGGTGAATGGAACATCATTGACATACTCTGTGCACAGCCCTGTCCTACTTCTGCCCCCAGCTGGCTTGCTCAGGGTGCTGGAAGAGGCAGAAGTTGTGGCTTCTTCCCAATATGTCAGTCACTGACGTTAACATTGAACATGACTGACTGATAGGGAACGTCTAGGTTACTAATGTAATCCCTGCTCCCTGAAGGAGGGAACGTAGACATTAATGCCCGTCGCCACAACTCCTGTACCTCCGCGGCGGCCCCGTCTCGGGACCCCGTCTTGGCTCCTCAGCGAAAAACTTAATGGGAGTATTTGCACATTTCCTTATATATCCAGAAGCGGCAGAGCGGACGTAATGGTTTGGAATGACGAGGCTGAGGCTGACAGAATTTTCTTTCTTTTTTTTGTGAACTATCCATTTAAGTGTACAGTAAAATGGATCTCCAGATGATGTGTAAACATCAATGGAACATGAATTTACACTTTTTAAAAACTTAGCTTCCATATTTCAGAAGTTCACCACATGCACATCACTGCCTGTGTTAGTATTAAGTATTAAACAAATTCACTAACCTGTCTGTGGATTTTCTAGACATGTGGCTTTGTGTGGTTGACGTGTAGTCAAGGTCATCCTGAGAACTCTCCTGATTGGAAAAGTGTGAATTACTACAAGTGTGAACAGATTTAATTAAGAATTACATTAGCATTTAAATGTTGACAAGGCAGTTAATTGACCTTAATTTGTAGGGTGCTGCATCATTTAGTAACAGAAAAAAGAAGCTATTTCTAATTACACTGCTGACAGAGATGCAATTTCCAGAGAGCCATCTTTCAGAATAATCGTTAAGAACAAGATCTTTTCACTCTTAATCAGACTTACATGCTTTTCTTCAAATGATGTTGAGAGATTTCTCTCTTTGCATTCTTCTGAGGCAACTAGAATGAAATTTCAAATTTATTTGAAATGATTAATAAAATACTTAACTATAATTTACTTTAAAATATTAGATGTTAGGTCACAGATCAACAATACCAAAATGTAATCTCTTTACAACAGTAAAAGTCTGAACATTAAAACAGTCTAAATTCATTCCCACATACCACTGTCTGCAGTGGCTGGAGCCTCAGACACTTGCTCTGCAGTTGAACAAGACTGTGTAATTGAGTTTTCTGACATGGCCTGGTGTTCATCTGGACCCTGGAGTAAAAAATAGGGTTACCTATTGCATTCAGGTACATAATTATAATTTTTTTAATCCATCATTTTTAGTACAAAGAAGATTTTTTTTTAGGTGTGTTAAGACTGTCTTTACACATGAAATTATGCTGTTTTTTATTTATTTATTTAATTTGTTTTACATATATTATTTAGATTTGTCTGAAATTACTTCTGTAAAATACATTTAGTCTCTTTCCTACACTGACACACACATTTTTTTCCCTTCCCACTGGTACAGTATTTTGTTTATAAACATGCTCGCGCATGCACACACAATAATTCTGAAATTAAAATAAAATTACAAACAAATTACGGTAATGTTTTAATGTGTTTGTAGAGCAAAAGTTCATAGACCAAGTAGTCTAAATTTAAAAAAAGTTTGGACATGGTAACAATTAACAACAATTAAAACCTTAAAACTTTTGTGCATTCATTCATTAATGAGAAGTTACTGATTAGATATACAATATGGTTTTAGTTGAAAAACACTACGTTCCAGGGGCGTAGAATTTAGTAGGGACGCTAGGGACGTGTCCCTACCAATATCCAGTGAGACTGATATATCCCTAGCAATAATTTCGATCAAAACTTAAAATATATTTATATATTGTTGTCCCCGTCCCCATCAATTTCAAAATCAAACCTACGCCACTGCTACGTTCACACTGCAGGCTGAAACGACCCAATTCCGATTTTTTTGCCCCTATGCGACCTGTATCTGATCTTTTCATGACAGTCTGAACGACACAGATCCGATCTTTTCAAATGCGACCCAGGCCACTTGGGTATGTGGTCCAAATCCGATATGTATCCGATCTTTTGAAATGCGACTTCAATCTGAACGGCCAGGTCACATGTATCCGACCCGCACGTCATTGATATGCGACAAACGTCATAATTATGCGTTGAAGAAAGCGGGAATGAGAAGATTGTAATTGTGCTGGCTCTGTTGGGAAAATAACTTTAATATTGCTAAACGAGCTCCACTGTTGACATCCATGTTTAGCTACTTCCGCAAACAACAAGTGACGTAGTTGACCGTTGAGTACTCTTCTGCACATGCGGGTCACTTCTGGGTCATTTCATGTTCACGTTCACACAGGAGATCACAAAAGGTTGCATTTAATTGAAAATGTTAAGGGCCTTGCAAAAAAATCTATCTTTTTCAAAAAAATCGGAATTGAGCATTAAGCCCCTGCAGTGTGAACGCAGCCTTAGACTGTTCTATAAGCTTATGTTCCACCGGGTCCAAACATACCCTGGATTGCAAAAGGTATATAACGTTTTTTTAATGCATTAGGAGGGTTAAAAACAAGGATCTGTTAAAAAATTTGCTTGAATCTGGATTTAGACCTGATCAGCTTGTTTCTCTTGTGAGATATTAACTACCGCTAACCAGTGGCAGCTCGTCAGGGGAGGCAAATCAGGCACAGCCTACCCAAAATCACATTTCACATTTTCTCTTTCTATCATTTACACATTTTCACCTGAACACTTTCAGTGGTAGAGGTTTGACTCTTCTCAGAAGAGGATCTGTTGGAGAAGGGTATAGACATAGAGGATGTGGCTGTTCTGCTGAAGCCAGGAGTTTCTGCTTGTGATTCCTCTTCTAACTGACCAGTGTCACACATATTTGCTGTCCTCTGTCTGGGCTTGGGTCTGGGTGACATGTCTTGGGCAACATAACCTTTAATTAAAGAATGTGTACTTTATTTGTTAGTTTCTGACATTTCTTGAGACGATTTTACAGACAAAAATCTGTCTAGCACAGGAAACCTTTCAGAAGTACACTATCAGTCAAAGGTTTGGAATAATTAAGATTCTTTATGTTTTTGAAAGAAGTCTCTTATGCTTACAAAGGATGCATTTATATGATGAAAATACAAAAACAGTAATATTGTGAAATATCATTACAATTTAAAATAACTGTTTTAAAATAACTATATTTTAAAATGGATTTTAGCCCTGTGATTGCAAAGCTGAATTTTCAGAATCTTTACTCCAGTCTTCAGTGTCCCGTGATGCTTCAGAAATTGTTCTAATATGCTGATTTGGTCCTCAAGAAACATTTCTTATTACAACAGTGAAAATAATTTAATACTTTTATTCAGCAAGGATGCATTAAATTGTTTAAAAGTGACAGTAAAGACTTTTATAATGTTACAAAAGATTTCTATTTCAAATAAGTGCTGTTATTTTGAGCTTTCTGTTCATCAAAAAGTATTAAGAACCATTATTAATAATTGAGCACCAAAACAGCATTATAATAAACAGTAGTAATAATTGGTCTTACAAAATACCACAGATCTTAAACAGCAGCACACATGCAAAAACTGTAGCCCTGACCTGTAGAGAGTTTTGGTTTAACACTTCTCTCCCTGGGTTGAGGAATGGGTAGGTCACCATCTTCACCAATCCTTTGGTTGGCCGCATCTTTTTCTGAAGGCAATGGTACTAGACTGTCCCTCTGGGAGCCTTCTGATGTAAGGGGGGTGGAAGATTCCCATAGGCTATTCTCAGAGTTTAGTGGCAGTGGAGATTCTGACAGGCTCTTCCTCACCACAGATTCTGTTTGGTTCCTCAACCTCATTACTGATTTTGACTGTTCATCCTTTTGAAGTAAAGTGAATTCTGGTTGAAACTTGTCAGATACAGAGGAAAAAAGGGAATCTGACTGTTGATTTTTCTCTGGAGTGTAAGAATCGCTTGGACTTTGAGAAGTATTCCTGGATTGGGTGGAATGGAAAGAACTAATCGGGCCATCTGCACTTCCCATGGAGTTTAGCAGTTCAAAATGCACAGGTGAGCTGGTTCTTTTGGTTTTCATGAAAGACACTTTTTTGGGTTTGACATTTTCTTCTTCATCATCTGAAAGCTTAAAATCATTGATTTTGCCTTTTGTCTTCCCAGCTTTAAATCTCTCCTTTTTCTGTTTTTGTCTTTTAAGAAGTTTGTTCAGTATGTCTGCTGAAACAATTCAAGTGTTTCAATATAAGGCAAAGAACAACATTAAATTGAAACTGAATTACTGTTTATTGGGGATAACCAAACTGATTCTATGTAACGTTAAGGTTTAGGCCTGGGACACACTGGCTGCGTGGCGTGAGCGTCTCAGCTGCGTAGCGTGTCCGTTTTTATTTCGGCTCCCATGTTAAGGCCGGAGACACACTGGCTGCGTGGCGTGAGCGTGGCGTTTCTGTTGCGTGTCAGCTGCGTGACGGCTGCGTCGCGTTTTCTGTGTCTTTGCACACCAGAAGCGTGTCTGACGCGGCACTGCGTGGCGTACACGAATACATATTCGCTATATGTGACATAGAGGGAGGGCGCCGACAGACCAGTCTACATTTGGATTAGCCTACTGTTGCTCTTGCCTTTACGACAACAATTTCAACTTTTATCACGCATCTTCCAAAATCCGAAAAATAGGGAAACATACGGCTGTCTGTTTATTTCAATAACATTTACAAATTTTGTGTAGCTTTAAAGAGCCTATATTTAGCCTATCTGATGTTGGACCGTCACTCAGAAGACACACTACGATGTTATTGTAGCCTATCCTAACTTTATATCCTCCTGAGGCCCAGAAAGTTTTTTTCAAAGAATTCTTTTTTTTTTTTTTTCATGTAATCACATTGTTAAGAGCATTATAAACAAATGAAAATATATATAGGCTATATTTTATTCATATGCTATGACCTCTGTAGTGGACACCAGGACTCGACTGTTTAAAAAATAAAATGACATGAAATTATATAGGCAAAAATAATGGGATTAAAAAAAAAGACATTTATATCTGAATTTATGTCAAAACCTAGATTTTCAAACATCAAAATGTAATTTATTAATATGTATTCGTGTACAAAATGACATATAAACATCTTTTCCTATACTATTTTGCCTGCAAACGCTTCCAACACGCTTGCGTGTCGCGTGAAAAATAGGCGTCGGTTCTATTTCTAGCATGCACGCGTTTTCCGCGCGGCTCATGCCGCGCCTGAGACGCGCGTGTCACGCAGGCAGTGTGCAAGCTCTAACCTGTTAGGCCGGAGACACACTGGCTGCGTGGCGTGAGCGTGGCGTTTCTGTTGCGTGTCAGCTGCGTCGCGTTTTCTGTGTCTTTGCACACCAGAAGCGTGTCTGACGCGGCGCTGCGTGGCGTACACAAATACATATTCGCTATATGTGACATACAGGTTAGAGCTTGCAGACTGCCTGCGTAATACGCGCGTCTCAGGCGCGGCTTGAGCCGCGCGAAAAACGCGTGCATGCTAGAAATAGAACCGACGCCTATTTTTCACGCGACACGCAAGCGTGTTGGAAGCGTTTCCAAGTAAAATAGAATAGGAAAATGTGTTTATATGTTATTTTGTACACGAATTCATATTAATAAATTACATTTTGATGGTTGGAAGTCTAGGTTTTGACATAAATTCAGATATACATATAATTTAAAAATAAATAATGATCAATTTTCAAATATTGCACCTGTCAATATAGAACGAAATATTATGTAGTCTATTTTGCCGTCAATACTGCTGACAGTGTCTTTATCAGTAGGCTTTATATTTATGCTTAACATGAAGTATAGGGCTTCCACAACTCCCTGTACATCAGCAGCAGCGCCGCGTCAGACACGCTTCTGGTGTGCAAAGACACAGAAAACGCGACGCAGCTGACACGCAACAGAAACGCCACGCTCACGCCACGCAGCAGTGTGTCCCAGGCCTCCTGAGTAGGCTATACCATGAACTTCAGCCATGCTTTGAATGATTAGTAGAGCATGCCATTCTGTACCTACCATCATCATCATCATTTTTACCATCTTCTTCATCATCATCCTCAAAGTCATCGGAGTAACTATGCTTGTTGGCTCTAGCAGACACAGCTTTCTTTAGCTCATCCTGAAATTCAACAACATGCACGTGTTATAGACAGGCTACTGACTTACATTAGAGAGCATTAATACGGTAACGAACGTTCGATTCGAAACTAGGCAGCTCACTAAGCTTTCAGACAAAGGCTGATGTGTCTGACAATCTAAAGAAAGATTTCACTTAAGAGCACACTAATGATTAGACGCTAATACCTGAAAAGTTGTTCTTCTGGATGTTTTAGGGCTTTTCGTGTAAGCAAGCGTTGTAGAAAAAGGCTCGTCATTCATCTTATCGAACGGGCTGTTTAAATGCAATCATTTGTTAATTAACAAGCAAATTATCGATATAGCATTTAACCACCATCAACCGTTAAAACAAATAAAACCTACCGTAGCTTAAAAACAATGTGAGGTAGCAGCCGTTGCTCAAATCATCATGGACGCCATTTGTTTACGCAAGTTACCAAGCAACTACCGGATGAGAATGTACGTAACCTACTACGACGAAGGCTAAACTTATACGAGGGCGTGGCGTTGCTTTGTGAGCTTCCTCTGTAGCATACTATGGCAAACGCTTTTTACAATGAATGCCCTAAATTTGACCAATTCATCCAATTTGAATTAACTTGGAGCGGCTTTTAGATTTGAAAACCTATGGAAGCCCATTTACATTTACGCCACATAAGAAAAAAAAAACATGCTTTTGTAAATCATAAAAAGTCTAAATTAAAACTTAAAAATTCAACAAAAAACATAATGTCACAAAAAGTTGAAATTATGACATACTAAATCGAAATTATGAAATAGAAGTTGAAATTATGACATAATTTTGAATTTTTATTGACCGGGCTTATGCTGCGTTCCAGGCAGGTTTTTGAGCACGTAAATCACGATTTCAAACCAGGACTCACGACTTTGTATAGCGTTCCAGGCCAGTCACGCCAAACTACCTGAGCGCAAGGAATTGTAGCTAGATGTAAACAAACCAGCATGTTTACATCTAGCTAGATGTAAACAAACCAACTTCTATTTCATAATTTCGATTTAGGATGTCATAATTTCAACCTTACGGGGCTTGTGCATTTGTAATCATTTCTGTCGCCAAAGGTGCTTACTCCTTGTTTATTTGAGGGAAACAGAGGAGGAAAAACTTTCAGACACATAACATTGTAAATACATAATCGTGTATTATTATCATTATTATTATATTATTATTAATTTGACTGCAACGTTATATTGTCCTAATGTGTCCTAAAGTGTATTCTCACCGTGTACCGCCTGCAGAAACACTGCATCCCATGGGCGTCGGAACCATTGTATATGAGTGGGACAAGACCCACCCACTTTTTAAGACCAATGATATTGGACCCATGCACTCACTTTAACCATCTCTAATTCAGCGCATATGTCTGTTCGCTTTTCAGAGCGCCGTCAGTCAAATCCATTCCACTTGAGAAAAGCCCTAGTCAATTTAACTCCATTTCTGCTGAATCATTATATTTGTCAACGAGCCGCAACTGACAAAAATAGCCGTTGTACCCTTCCAGTCAAATATTGCGTTGCATGTAATGACCAATAATAATCAATAATGCCAAATGACCATGGTATCAGCGGGATAATCCACGAATAGCTGTGCATTTAATGCGCGATGTGAAGCGGAGTTTAGTTTACTTGTTTAATTAAAAGGCACAGTATACATGAAATGGCATTTACTCCAGTAACATTTTCTGGGGGAGGACCCACCCACTTTTTAGTTGCTTCCGACGCCCATGCTGCATCCTTAGGGGCTGCCATTGTTGTTTTGTATGGTTTCGCGGGCTATGTGACGTCAGAGCTCGTGACTGGGAGTACATCGATCTAGTACGAGTTCACGGGTGGGAAGTCACGGGTTTGACTGCCGTTCCAGTGCACTTTCACTGGTATAAGGTTGGAAAAACACGGGGTACAGGTTGCCTGGAACGCGGCATTAGACTACAGGAGTTTGTGTGAACGTGGCTTATGAGTGCTCTCATTGGATGCTGTTCATGTCTCTTTTGTGTGAGCACATGGCTTGTGATTTGATTTGTTTTGTGAGTCTTCCCCCTTGGGGTAATTTAATTTTTTTTTTTTTTAAATAATAAAAGCCTTCATACTTCTGCGATTGAGTCCTCGCCTCATCTCCTCAATCCCAAACCCTGACAGTTACGTACGTTGTATAGGAAACGCACCCCAGAGCAAGAGCACTCCCAAACATGCTTCGTTCGGGTTACGGAAGTCGTCGGCAGTGCTGCACGGCACGCCTCCAAGAGCTCAGCTGTTTTCGGAAAGACTTTGTACAGCGTCTTTTATAAACCTGATCAAACTAAAGACTCTTCGGAGTTATGAAGGATGCAACACTCCATAGCAGGTATATTAGCATGAGATTGTCAGAAACTGCGAATGTTATGTCCCCTTTAACTTTATGTAATAATTTTGTTTTTTATTCTCAGTATGTCATAATCATTGGCAGACTCTGATGATTTTAAAAAATATATATATTTTGGAATTTAAATCGGGATGATCATATGATTAAGTCAGTACTTCAACAATAGCCAATGAAAGACAAGTCTACAAAGAGACTGAAGTGAAATGACCTTTAGAAATGGCGACCGCGAAACAAGCAGTTAAACGGGTCCACTAATGCCAGCTCCTCAGACTACAGTAGTTTTTAAATCTTAACCGATTGTGAAATCTGGTTGCCACGGTGAGGAACTGCTGGTCAAAATGTGGCAACAACACACCAGTTTTTTCACGCTACAAAGAATAATTATTGATACCCCAAATAGCTGCGACACAGTATCCATTTTGTTTACATCTGCTTTCCTGTGAGATCACTTGAGGTGCTAAATCTGACATGATAATTTTAAGAATATCTTGTAGTGTGTGATGCGCCACGATTTTCAAATCTTGCGTGTGCAGTTTTGAGATTTGAAAGAAGAAAATCTGTGAAGATTCTCCTTGTGTGCGTAATGCAACCGGATTTCACAATCGGTTAAGATTTAAAAACTACTGTAGTCTGAGCCTGGCATTAGTATGTCATAATTAACATTTACTAAAGCATGTTTTTTTTTCTTTTCTTTTGTGGCGCTCCAGGGACATTGCCTGATCTAAAATCTATGCATCACACAGCGTTTATCCCTGTGGAATCCCAAACAGGCAACATACATGATTTCAGCGCAAACTTATGGTGTTCTGAAATATTCATTTTCTGAAATATTTGAATATTCATAGGCGTGTGTCCTATTTTGTGTTAAAGTGAAATAATTTTTTTAACAGGATGTATTTTGTCTTGAACACATAACATCTGAAGGACAATAAATAAAAAAAATATATAGGCCTAGGCAAAATAAGAACATTTTACACTGATTATCCTGTTATTCATCCTGCTTTCTTGAGCATCAGTAAATATTTGCACCTTTTGTAATAGTTGTCCCTTTGTCATGGCAGGACCAATTGCTGAATTTATATCTGAAAATATAATACCATATATTCCCACCAGGGGGAGGTAGACATCGCAAAATGTTCCTGTCCTGGGAAAAGAGATCTGCAATTAAATTAGCTCACTGATCAAGCCAGGTCAATGGAAAAGATACTCTATAGGGGACAAAAGTGCTCTTAAGTTTTAATTGTATTGTAACGTTTCTGTGTTTATTTAATCATTTAAAAAAAGGAAGAAAAAAGAAAAGAAATTGCCATTATGAAAAAGCATTTCAAGAAAATGGCCTTTTCTCACAATTGTTAATGTCAGTCATATTAATAAACTCTTTAGTTTTAGAACTATGTTTAATTGTCACACAAAAAAAGTATTCAGTCTTTCAGCCAGTGGTCCATGTTGCTCTTGTATCTTCATCAACAACCTGCAAGCACCACAAATGTCGTCTTAATAAGATCCTGACCTTTGTATGACACCATCTATTTCTCCATCACAATCTTTTTCTCTTTTTAACTTTTTTTTTACTCTTTCATGTTTTTTGTTTTTTTTTTCAGAGGAATTGTCTGTGATATCACACCTCTCCCATCAGCTGTGATTGGACAGGAGCTGTTTATATCAACTGCATGTGTTGGTAATACTTCATAATGACTTATATTAGTATACCCCATTAACATTATTAATTTGGAACATTCTCAGTGGAACTTTGGAACATTCCTTCAACTCTTTTCTTACATCTCATATGGCCAGGACAACTAGTTCATGCTGATATAAATACTGACCTGACATTTGTAGTCAAACTTAAGGGCCAAGTCAAACAAGATAATTTAATTTACATTTAATTTACTAACTTTACATTTCTGCTTTTAACTTTACATTCCCCCCATTATAAGTACCTCATCGTAAACAGCAACGAGTTAAAATGATGTTTTGTGGTACTCAACATTTTGTTGCAAATGCTGTTGATTGAGCTTAACTTTTGTATTGAACCCTGAATCTTCTTTCAATTTTGCCTCTGATTCAGATTAAAGTGCATAGAGGATGACTACTGTATTGGTGCTCTGTAATAATTTTCATACGGAGAGTAGAGTGTATACAGAAGAGCATCAGTGGCCTAAGGCACTGTTGAGGAAACCCACTTACGCAATTTACTTGGAATCTGTGACCATCAACTGTTACACCACACTCTAAGAAATGAAATGTTGTATTTAATTAATAAAGTTATGTCAACCGGTCCCACAAAACTTAGTTGCTTAAATGGAAAAGGTAATATACAATTAATTCTAACATAATGTTTTAAGTAAATCGTTCATAACTGTGTTAATTAAATGGTACATTACACAATTATTTTGAATAAATGTAAATTATTGTCTTGAATTTAATGACTATAGCTTGAATTAACATGACCTGATTAAGTTCAATTTATTAAACAGAAATAAGCTTTGCTAATGTAATCCATTTGTGTTGATTGTACTTAACGACTGGAACTTAGTTGCTCCTCTGTTAAAAAACAACAACTACTCAAGTCACTTTAATTAACTTTATTCACCTTTGGTTTTTAAATATAATTAGTCAAAGTAATTTTGACCTTCTATGTGCATTACTATATCTGGGACTGTCATGACTGACACAATTATGAAAAATATGTAAGCAAAACTTACATACAAATACAAAGTGTACAAATAAAATTGAAGACACCAACATAAATCCAAGTATAAAATGCAAATAGATCAATACAAATAAAAATCCTAAAATATAAAACTTGTCTGTGAATCTCTTTCACCATCTGACAATGTTCAATCCCATTATAGCTAGTCCCAAAAGTGAATCTGAACTTTGACAACGGCAAGAATGTCTAACATGTATTGCCTGCCGAAA